ACTATGAGCACCAACGCTTTCATACCCTTCCCACAAATAATATCGAAAACACAAATATTTTGGCAAATGGTTTGAAGAATTCGGTATACTCTTCACACAGAAGGGAAGACAAGGGTTCTTGCTGCGAAGAAATCTCAATTTTTGTGAGCTGCTGCTTGTGCTCACATGCATACACACATATGTATACACATTTAAGAGAGCATCGAGAGATGACACTACGTGTCCGGTCATTAGCTCTTATAACTTCTTAGATCTAGGGCTAAATCAACTGAGTTCGTTGCCCTGATCAAGAATATATATGTATACTTTGTGGGGTCTGCCACGCCTTCTTCTGCCTGTTTGAAAAAAAAAAAAAACATTTTAACAAAACCATTATACCCTGATTTTCAATTTGCAATGGGTTCAGGGTGTAACTATTTACATATGTATGTATGTATGTATGTATGTACGTGTGGTTTCAAGTTTTCAAAACAAACCGAATAGAGTTTGGGTGCGTTTATAATTGTTAATATTGGTTCCGATTCGCCGATTTTACCTTGAAACATTATCTAAATAAATATTGCACAATACAATTAAATACAAATTGTTATTAAATATATAGAATATTCAATTTGTATTCAAGTTTCAATGTCTTATCGTTGAGATTGTACATATGTATGTATATACATATACATATATTAATTCTTAATTACGGCTTGACTAGGGTCATTTATATATCAATTACAAAGTGCTGTTTACATTTGAGGTTTGATAAATACCAACAATTTTAAACCATATATATACAATTTTGTCGGGAGAATGCGTTTAGAAATGTGATTTTACCGAGCTGAATCGATTTGACCCTGTCCGTCTATCCGTACGTTTGAACGCGTCCATTTCAGAAGATATAAGAGCTAGAGACTTTAAAAAAAGTTTCAAATGTCCGTATATCGAGCTTATCACTAAAAATCGATAACTCATCCCGTTATTTTGTTATCAATAAAACCCCTTATAGAAAATCACTTATAAAATTATATCCCTACATCTTTAAAGCAATTTCGATTTTTGTTAAAATTAACCCCCTCACTCTTATATCTGTAAAAGGCGTATTTCAAATACTAGTCACATGTGTGAATATACACACATTTAAACATTATTATTATGTTATAAAAGTTTCATTAAGATTGTAATATTGCCAACACTGCAACGCACCCCAAGTGCAGTCGCCTGTATTAATAAAATATTAATCCTGCTTTCTATAAGCCATAATTAAACATATTTTAGTCCAAAAATCTAACAATGTCGCAAGCTTGAAGATCATAATTGTTGCATACGGTATTCGCATAATTTGGCCTTGCCCCAAAAAAGAGTCCGACACAGGCAAGGACATACAATGTCTCTGTCGCGCAACGACATAGAACCTTGTAATGAATTTAAAACACCGAGGAAAACAGCACTAGTAGCAGCAGCAACTACAACTATTCACTGCCTACAGCAATGTCATGCCCCAATTTGCGTCGTCTGTGACCTCGTTAGCTATTTCCAAAGTGCAGCGAAAACAGCAACAAGCGGTTGACTTTGACCCATTTAAATCCTCTGAGGTAAGCAATAGACGCAGCAGACCGATTATCGAACAGCTCAGTCAGCGTCGTCAGTTGTCGACGGCGGCTTCGCAAACATTGCAATAATCTGTGTCAATGTCAGCCGGCATTGCAGTGGGCGGCGACGCGGCGTAAAACCAACTGAGGCAGAACATAAAGCTATAGAGTGCAGAATATGGATAGACCAATACAGATGGAAAGAAAGAGAGAACGTATATAGTAGACACGAACCAAACACACACACACAGAACGTGTGCCCGCCAATCGCCAAGCAATTTCACTACATGTGTGTCTATAATATGCTCGTATCCTTGTACCCAATCTCTTAAGTATTTTACAAAACAGCAATTGACAAAAGTACACCACTCAAGAATGAGCTTGAGATACCCTGTACTGCATCACGGACTTTTTATACATCTAAATGTTAATACTGCAACTAGCGAAACCTAATACTTCATTATTCGCTTGTTCAGACTTTTTTTTATGATATTTAATCTATAAGCTTGAATGAGCTTCTTATACACTGAAATAAGTGCAGGGTATTTGAGCGAGTTTGCGCTTGACCCAAATTCTGAAGCCCACAGACCTTGTTCCATGTTGACCACTATTCTGAGGACTGCAACGACGCCCCTGCTGTGAGTTTTCCAATACCTGTGCATGGGTGTGTATACTTGTCATATATATAAATATATACATATATATACATATAGTATATATACAGTATTGAAGGTCGGAAAAGTGGGCGACGAGACGCCTGACATTGTTGAATGTCAGCCATAAGCAGAGCATCTACAATTACTAATGTTGTAATTGTAAGTTGCAATCGCGTGCGATTGCTGACGAAGCAGCATCATATAAACGATATAAGTTAAACAATAGCGATCCAGGTTTATTTTATAGCATTGCTGTGCGCAATGGAATTTAACGCATTCTCAATGAGTAGCTTAATGTAAGTGTTTATTCTGATATCTTTTAGTAATTCGAATCCGCTGTTTTGCAAAAACATTTTAACTATATTATTATTAAAGTTATTTTAAAACTTTTGCGTGTTCTATTAATTAATTTGGACTTTTTCTTAGCAATTCAAATAATATTTTCCGGCGTATCATGGACATGTATGTTTGTAACATGTATGTATGTACATTTGGAATATTTCTTCATATCACATGCAATATGCGTTCTTCATTTATTTTTCGATTACTTATAATATTCCTTTATTATCAATGAATATTAATAATTTGATAACGTTTTTATGCGCGAAGCAAGAAATTGGAGATGTTACAATTATGCACTGCAATGCATGTATGTATAAGAGAGTCTTGTGATTGACCAAAAATTACGCTTATTAAACTATTAAATTATTAATATTCATTGATAATTTATTCACCATAAAATACTATTTAAACTTCAATATGTATTTTCGTATACTTTTATGGCATACTGAGTACCATTGAATAAAATAACTCAATTAAGTTTTTTTTTGCCTTTTTATACTTTTTTTTCGAAGGATGTTAGGCTTTTAAAGACATTAGAAATTTTACGTCATTCAACTTATTGTTTATTAAAATTTGCTGCTTTTATTAATCCATTTGGATTTTCCAATTACAATTTTGATTATTTTGTTCGTATTATTTCATCCAGGATATTGCCAACGTTTCAAACCGATTGCGGAACTAGTTGTTAAAATTAGACTACTTACCCCCTCGGTCATCGATCTCAAGACCAAATTCATCCTCTGAGATAGACTCATCGTCGGAGCTAATATTGGATCCACTGAGATTTCCTGCCTGATGTTGTTGGTGCTGTTGCTGTTGCACCTGCGTTGCAATGGTGGTGGTGTTGACTTTCGTTGCATCACACGAACTGGCCGCCAGCTCATCGATACTATGCAGCGATCTTCGATGGGCTGACGTCGCCCCCGCTGCTGCTACTGCAGCTAGTGTTGTTGTTGTGTCAGCCATTCCATTGCTAACTGCCACAACCGCGTCCTTGCTGTTACTGCTCGGTACTACCTCAAAGTCCAATAGCTGTGCTGTTGTGGAGCTTAAAAATCCAGAAGAGCTCACAACCCGCGCTGACACGGATCCATTCAATGGCTTTAACTGGTGGTACTCCACCTGGTTTGACTTTTGGAGTAACAGTGGATCAATGCTATTAAGCGTTTCAATGTTAACCATGGTTTGGTTATTTTTGTTCTTATTGGTACTCGTACTGGTATTGGTATGGGTAGTGGTATCGGTATTAATATTGGTATTGGTATTGATATCGGTATTGGTATTGGTATTGGTATTGGTATTGGTATCGGTATTGGTATTGGTATTG